AGTCTGGAGGAAACTGGGTACAAGCTTACAGTTTAGCCCTCCAGCAGGAGCTGTACAAAACCTGAATTAGACTGAATTGCACTTTTAGTGTCTTCTTGTGTCCCGTCCCCCCTGCGCCTCCCCCCCACCCCCCAGTGTGTGTCCTGAGAACACCTGTCCTTGTGCACACTATGGTCTTGTAGGTTCCTGGAGCTTTGTGGGAGTGTCTCAAGGTTCCCTGTGATGTCTCATTGTCTAGCTTTTTTTTAACCTTTTTTGGTTGACCATTTGCTTTCTAAAGCCTCAGGAAACCATGATGTTAAACAGTTGTCCTTGCTTCAAACAAATGCTTCTGGGGAAAGGTTGGAATTGTTTGAGGTGTAAGTCATGTCATATAAAGATAACCTTGTGGCTGGGGAGATGGCTCAGTGGAATATGCACTTTCCTGGCAAGCGCAAGGGCCTGAGTTCAATCCCTGGTTCCACCAAAAAAAAAAAAAAAAAGATAACCTTGCACATGAGGTCTTTCAGACAGGCCAGATCTCATGGAGACCCTTTCACCCAATTCTGACCTCTTCATTGACTGCCTGCCCGCCCGTGGGGCTTTCCGTGTGTGTGGGTGTGTGTGGTGCAGTGCAGTGCAGGTTGTACTTTGACTCAACTGCAGTCCCCTGGCTCAGCTTCCCAAGTGCTGGGATTACAGGTGTGTGCCACCACACTGGCTTTTCATTCCTGCTATGGGCTGTTTTCAGAGCTATTGCGGAGTTGGGGTTGGAGGTGGAATCGCAGTAGGGAAAATTAAAACTCTAAAACTTGATGTAGCGCTCCGTTCTTAACAAAATGCAGCTCTTGAAGAAACATTTACTAGTTTGCTTTAGGCCTTTCATTAATTTTCAGAGTTCTTTAAAAGTTTTTTTCCTGACAAATTTTACCAGTGCTATATTGCTTTTATGGAGGAGAGCATTTTTTGAGGTCATTGCTTGCTTTGCCATTCTCAGTGACATCAGCCCTGATATCACTTCCTTCTTCCTATATAGCTCATGATTACTCAGACACTGAAAGAGGGACCCTGGATATTGTGGTAAATGAAAGACGCCCTTTCTTGTATACAGCTTATGTGTATATTTTACTGTGTGAAGATCAGCAGTAAGCAGATGTGTTTTTTTGTACCAGGGGTCTAGCCAGGCCTGCCATATGCTAGGCAGTGCTCTACCACTGAGCTGTTCTACCAGCCTGCTGGGCAGAAAGAGTGGAACAGTGTGGTCGGGATCAGTGAATGAGACAGGTGGGTTGAGCCTCCCCCTACTCTGAGAAACCAAGACCTGGATGAGGTCAGAAAACAGTGTGGGCAGCTGAGCCACAAAGACAAGGAACACACAAAGCTTTGTGGGCAAGTGGGTTTGGCATGTTCAAGATAGCAAGAGAGCAGCATGGCTGAAGGAAGTGGATATCCAAGAGGAGAGAAGGGCAGTGAAATCACTGAAATTGTACACCTAAAAGCATTAATGTCCAGGGCCTGTAGTAACTCAGATTTGTGGTAATAATTGTTTTCATTACTTAGATCTTTCGTAAGCATGCTTCCAGCATGGGACACACCCAGGGATAGGATGCTGGCCTGATTCTAATGTTGGTACAGTCTTGTAGCAGTTTGTTCTGTTCTTCATTTTGTTTGCTTTTCAAGGCAGTCTCCAAATGTAGTAGCAAAAATTGTTGTAATAGTACTTTCTTATTTTACATAAGTCTTCCTGTGATCTTTATATTTTTTGAATTCTCTAGCAACCCTCCATCTCATTTTTCTGGAGGAGTACTTATTTGTGTGTGGGGGGGGGTTCAGTTGACATTTATCTTTTGCTTTTGTTGCTGAGGACAGCATCCAGGGCTTCCAGCTTGCTGGGCAAGTGTCCTACCATGAAACACATCGCTGGAGTGATACTTTATCTTCCAGGGACTTTAAGTCCCACAAAAATTAGGTAAAAGGCTGTGGATCTAGAAAAACAGATATTTACGTAAAACATTTCATGTAGTTTCAGGGACATTATTATGCCCCTTTATAGCCCATGCTTAAGGAATCCTTTTCGTTTATTTACATAGAGTTAGTCCCTGGATCCAACTGTTTGGCCAGTCCAGAATGTTTGAGGAAAAAACTGCATCTTTATTGAACGATGTTCAAATTTTTCTTGCCATTGTCACCTAAACAAATGGGTTTAGCAGCTGCTGTGTTTACATAGCCTTCATATTAAGTAAATTAGAGATTTTATGCAAGAGGATGAATGGAAGTTGTATGCAAACCTGTGCTGTGTTCATGTGAGGAGCTTGAGCATCCCAGGTTGTTGTCCGTGGGAGGCCTGGCCGCACCCTCCCAGCTCACAGAGGGATGGCTGTGGCTGATTCCTGCCCTTGCTGAGTGTAAGATTCTATCTTTTTTTTTTTTTTTTTCTTTCCCCTTTTTTATGTATTTGGTACAGGGTCTCACTGCACAGCTTGGACTTTCTGTTTTCAGCCTCCCCAGCGCTGGGATTATAGGTGTACACCACCACACCCAGACTCTCACTGCCTCGGTCTGCCCAGGGTCAGGGCCTGCACGGCATGCAGTACCAGGGATTGAACCCCTGTCCCTGTGCTTCCCTAAGCAGGCGCTTAGTCCACTGAACCTTGCTGGCCTGCTGAGTATAAGATTCTAGGTTTTTCTTTTCTTTTCTTTTCTTTTTTTTGGCCCTTGTACACTGCCATTCTGTTATATTCTGGTTTCTAGAGTTGAGACATCTGTTGGTCTTGTTTCTCTGACAGTTGTCTGTGCCCCTTTAACCCCCCTCGCTGTTAAGACTTTACCTTTATCCCCTCCTTCCCTTCCTTTGGTAATTTGATTGTGGTAAGCTAGGTAGTTCTCTTAACCTAGCTTGGTGTTGGCGAACTACCGTAAATCAGTGTTGATTTTATTCCTCAGTTTTGGAAAACTCTTCAGATAATTTTTTACCTTTCTTCTGTTAGCTGGTGTATGTATGAATGACATTTCCAACATGTCTCACATTTTCTGTAAACCTTTCCTTTTTCCTTTTCTCACTCTCTTTCTCTCTCTGTTTGCTTATATTTTTCGTTTCTTGGTACTTTTATTTGACTATTTTCTATGGCTTTTTTTTTTTGGTATTTTACTGCAGGGTCTCACAACAGTAATCCTCCTGTTTTCCAGCCCTTACGTCTGCCTAAGCAGACACTTTAATCTGCTGAGCTATCAGGTCAGCCCTCTGATTTGCATTTTTAGTTCACTGATCCTATATTTTGCTATGTCCAATTTGTTTTATAACCAATGTTTTGAGTTCTTACTATTTTTCAGTTCTAGAATGTCAACTCTTCACTGATCCTAATTCATTGGTGAAATACTCCATTTTTGATCAATTTTGTCATTTTACCCTGGGTGGTTTTTTTTTTTTTTCCCATTTAAGAGTTATTTTAAGTCATTGTTATTGTGTGTTAATGCTGATGTTCTCGTATTTTTTATTCCCAGAACCAGGGATTGAACTCAGGCCCTTGCACTTGCCAGGAAAGTGTTTATTCTACTGAGCCATCTCCCTGGCCCCTGTAGTTTTCTTTTATAGGTCTTATTTTCTTGAACCTTTGCATGCTTAGTAAGCTTTATCATGTGCCAGATTTTGTATCTCAAAGAACCATGGAGATTTTAGACAGTGTTACCTTCCCGATAAGGTTCCTCAGACGATTGAGGAGCTTGTTACCTCCAGCCAGCAGGGATTGCTTGGCTTTCCTGTTATTTATTTAGTATTTTAGGGAAGGGTCTACAGATTGTTCATGGGGTCAGGAGATGGCTTAGTACAATAAGCGCTTCTCTGGCAAGCACAAGGGTCAGTTCAATTCCCAGTTCCAACAAAACAAAACAATACAGGTTGTTCAGGGTCTCACTACTAGATTGGACTCGTAGTGATCCACCTGTTCACAGCCTCCCTAGGGTTGGGATTACAGGCACGGGTCACCATGCCCAGTCCCAGTTGACCTCTCAGTGCGCCCTGGGGGTGGGGCCAGCACGGCAGGTCAGGGGTTCGAACCCTCAGCCCCTGCACCTGTTTGCAGGTGCTTTACCTCTGTTATGTTAAGGTTTGTTTTTTGGTTTTTTTTTTTTTTCTTTAAAATTTTATTTATGTGTGTGTGTGTGAGTGTGTGTGTGGCCAGCTCAGCCCACCAGGGGGCAGGGCTGGCTGGCATGTGGTGCTGGGGGATTGAA